AATTAGATAAACTTGTCAATATTCCAAAAACAAAGAGGGGATTACTTTCAGCTGCTCAAAGAGTTTTTGACCCTATTGGTTTTTGTAGTCCAGTAACACTAGTTCCTAAATTAATTTTGCAAAAGATTTGGAAATTAAAATTGACCTGGGATTCAGAATTACCAGACGATCTTTCAAAACAATTTAGTACTTGGTTAAAAGGAATTAATTTGCTAGCGTTTTGTGGTATTCCCAGAAAACTAAGTAATATTTCGTTAATTACACGTAGTTCTGAAAATTTTTCCTTGCATGTATTTTCAGATGCAAGTAAAGTTGCCTACTCCGTTTGTGTCTTTTTAAGGTCTGATATACAAGGACATATTAATATTGAATTAATTTAAGCAAAGTCGCGAGTTGCTCCAGCAAAAGACATTACTTTGCCTCGTTTAGAATTACTAGGTGCTCTTACAGGAGTTAGATTATGTCAATCAGTAAAATTAATAAGTGTATTTTCGACTACTAAAACGTTTTACTGGTGCGACTCAAAAGTAGTCTTAACTTGGATAAACAGGATATCAAACTGGAGCGTATTTGTAAATAATAGAATTAGCGAAATTCGATTAGCTACTGAGTCAGATCAATGGTTTCATGTACCAGGGGATCAAAACCCTGCCGACTTACTTTCTAGAGGGTGTCATGCAAAATTTCTCGTAGAGAGCAAGTGGTGGGAGGGACCCGATTGGTTGAAGGGGCCGAAAAACACTTGGCCGAACACTAATATTGTTTGTCAGTCTCTAGACGCTGAACAGATGAAATTAAACAATTCAATTTTGAACGATTCTGTTTTCGTCACAACTAATGAAAATCAATTTAGCCACCTATTCAGTATCTTCAGCAGTTACACAAAAATTATCCGAACTGTTGCGTGGATCTATAGGTTTTACAGAAATGTCTCTACAAGAGAGAAAATAGCAGGCGAATTAACTGCAGACGAAGTTGATGACGCTGAAATAAAAATTATCAAATTTATTCAGAAAGAAAGTTTTCCAAATAAAATATTTTACAATTTAGAAGTTTTCAGAGACGAGAATAACATTCTAAGAGTAAAAACGAAATTATTTCTTGGAGATGATCCATATAATTTTAGATATCCAATTTTATTACCTTCTGATCACGAAATTGTCGAAGAAATGATCAAAGAATAGCATATAATTTTAAAACGTATTGGAGTTCAAACTTTACTTCAAATTTTAAGAGAAAAGTTCTGGATATTAATAGACAAGAAAACTTTAAAGAAAGTATTGTCCAAATGTGTGATTAGTAAAAGACATAAATCTAAACCTATCCAAGTTCCAGCAGCACCTCTCCCTATTGATAGATTTAAAACTGGAAAAGCTTTTAACGTAACAGGAGTGGATCTTTGTATATTAAAGAAAATGAAAAGGTTTGGATAGTTTTATTTACATGCAGTGTTTATCGTGCTATACATTTAGAATTAGTCAGATCATTATCTACAGATTGTTTTTTAATGGCTTTAAGAAGATTTATAGCACGAAGAGGCAGAATCTCAACTATATATTCAGACAACGGGACAAATTTTGTGGGTACCAATAATAGATTGAAATGTCTGAATTGGAATCATATTTTAAGTTTTAGCAGTGTATATAGAATTAGTTGGAAATTTAATATACCAGCAGCTCCTTGGTGGGGAGGATGGTGGGAGAGACTAATCAGAATAGTGAAAGAACTATTGCGAAAAAATTTAGGAAGAGCTCGTTTAAATTATGAAAAATTAATAACACTTCTATGCGACTGCGAAGCGCTAATTAATGCACGACCTTTAACCTATATTACCAACGAAGACGATGTGTTAATTCCACTTTCCCCGTCTAGTTTTCTTCAAGATATTACTATTACTGAAACACCAGATTTAGATGAGATTGATAGAAAAGGTATGGTAAAGAGATATAAATATTTGCAAACCCTCAGAAAGAATTTAAGAACACGTTTCAAAAGGGAATACCTGGCTGAGTTGGTTCAAAATGCTCAAACGAAGTCTTCTACTATCAAAGTAGGAGATATAGTTTTAGTCGAAATAGATAACCTAAAACGAATATTTTGGCCTTTGGGGAAAATTATTGAAATTCATATAGGAAAAGATGGTATCCCCAGGGTTGCTCGGGTTAAACTTGCTGATCGAGAAGTCATAAGACCACTACAGCGGATTTATCCATTAGAATTATCCGTCCCACAAGAAGAACAAGAAAATAATGTGGATGAACAGAAAACACAAAAAGAAGCAGCAGAAAACCGCGATGGAATACAAGAAAATTCCAAACCATACACCAGTCGAGCAGGTCGAGAAATAAAAATTCTGACACGGTTTCATTTTTAGTGTAGTTTGTAAATATTATCATTATTATTATTTTGTTGCGGAATATAAATATTCGCAAAGGGGGGAGAATGTTAGAAAATCTTACCGCCCTGTACATACTATGTTGTTATAGTAATAAAAAATAATGAAATTGATGTTAGAATAAAAAAAATAAAGTTGTCATTCTTTAAAATCGCTTCTTATTAAAAATCTTTCAATTACCAAATTTTCCACCTATTATCCGACACTAGTAGCCTTTTCAAGGAAAATAAAACTTAATCTCAAAACCGTTAAATTAAACGGGATAGATATAGAATGAAAAAATGAAGTCAAATATCTAGGCCTAACCCTGGACAACAAACTTCTCTGGAACACACATGAGAAGGAAGTAGTAAATAAGGCCATAAAAGCCCTAATGGTTTGCAAAAACATTGCAGGCAAACGATGGAGATGTAACCCAAACATACTGCGGTGGATGTATATTGCAATAGTGAGACCAATCATCACCTACGGGGCTATAGCCTGGAGTAACAGAACTAGTCTAGCTACTACAAGAGCTAATATCTCAAAAGTGCAAAGACTAGCTTGTGTTTGCATTATTGGTACAATGAGAACCTGTCCTACGGCCGCAATGGAGGTGATCTTAAACCTCACCCCTCTACATTTGATGATAGAGAATGTGGGAAAAAGGACACGATATAGAATGATCAGGTACGGAGTAATCAGATTAAAGTCTACTTGCTTCAGGACTAAAGATACCTAGGACATGCCCCAGGATGAAATGCTAAAGAAGTACAGTTTTGTAAAAAACTTCAAAACCACAGAGCTGGGCTGCAATAAAGAATGGAGCCAAGAATCAATCGCGCTTGCAACCAAAAGACGTGCTATTCAGTGGTATAGGGACGGTTCCAAAACCATAGAAGGAACTGGAATAGAAGTGTATGGGCCGAGAACCAAGCACTCCGAAAGCTTGGGAAAACACCAAAGCATCTTCCAGGCGAAAATTCACACCATCGAGAAGTGTATCCACCTCAACATCGAGAGAAACTATCATAGACAAGAGATTATCATCATGTCCGATAGTCAAGCAGCCATCAAAGCGCTAAGCACGTAATCAGCTCAAAAATTGTCTGGAGATGCCTAGAACAATTGAATGAGCCAGGCGAGAAAAATAGAGTTACTCTCACTTGGGTCCCGGGACATAACGGGGTACAGGGTAACGATATTGCAGTTAGTCGTGCAAGGAAAGGGGCTCAAACACCCTTTGTAGGACCTGAGCCGTTCTGCGGTATCAGCAGTAACATATTATTAGAAGAGATTAAAAAAGAATTGGGCAGTAGAAAAACGGATAAAAGAAAGAATCTCTTGGGGCTGAGACAGGCCAAGATACTTCTGGGTGAATATAACTAGAAAAGATCGGAAGCCTGCATCTGCCTGAGCTAGAACAGGCTACGTATTGTAACAGGGATCCTTACCGGGCATTGCCGACTAAAGGGACAACGAAGTAAACTGAGAGTAGTAGAGGATAGTAAGTGCAGATTCTGTGAGGAGGAGGACGAAACCTCCATTCACATCCTAACTGAATGTGTAGCACTCTAGATTCCAAGGGCACTATATCTAGGAGGATATCAAATAGAAGAGGGAGATTTACCTAACTTGAAGCCACTTCAAATCCTACACTTCCTTGAGAAAATAGGATTGGAAGGGTCGTTATAGGCATTGAGACATTTCCTTAGTGCATTGGCGACAGAAGGGGGCACAATAGATCTTTTGGGTCGCAGTGTATTAACACCCCATTCCTAACATAACATAACATAGTGAAATAAATATTTTTTTTCACTTTTAATAAATATGAACATGATTCCAGTTTTGTTTTAATTTTCTTTCTCACTATAAATTGGTTGTAGTATTAGAGAAAAAAGGATTTTAAAAAAACCATACATATCATAATATAAACAAACAAATAGTTATATTTTGTCCAATATTCTAAGTACGGATATGTTTACTCCTTTCTGCGCATGCTCGCTAATCCCACAATTAAAAAGATGGCGGCTCACTGTAATAAATTTTTATGATTTATTGCTTAGAGCATATGCTCTAAGATTTATTGCATAGCCTTATCTCTTAACACTCTAGATCTGTGTGCAAACCCCGTAACTGAGTATATCTTTTACATAGATTTTAAACAAATTTGGAAAACTGGCAACTATTGTCAATATGTGGAACATTATCTAGGTTTTTTGGTGAAAATCTGGAGTTAAAAAAGAGTTTTAACTCTTTAAAATAAGATTTAAAGGTGTTTTTTAAATTTTATTTTACAATTCTAAATTTTAAGAAGTTATTCGTAATTTAAATTAATTTTTCCGCAAACGACAGTAGTCTAAGTATACAAGTATTTGTAAAATTCTCCAACAGAAGGCGCATCGCTTAGCGTAAATTACATTTTTATTGACGCTGTTGCCAGTTTTCAGAGTTTGTTTTTAATCTACGTAATACTCAAAATGCATTTCAAAAATTAATAATTGTCGTAAATAAATATTTTTTATTTACATTTTAGGCGTTGCCATTTAAATGGTTTGTCAATACAGTGGTGTAGTCGAGAAGAAATCCCTAATAAAAACTTTATATCCACATTTTAATAACTTACCGTCGCCAATCTATCAATATCCTCTTGACAGGCTCCCAAAGAAGCTAGTCCTAGTTCTTGTGAGAACTGTGCGAAACTCGGATTTGCTAGTAATGGCATATGACCCAGTAGCTCGTGACAGCAATCTCTAAACAATGAAAATAAATTAAGAACTTGTCTAACAGGCTAAACTAGTCATTATAAGGGTCTAACTTTCATTATATCTGATATTACATTAGAGTAGTTAAGAAAATGGCTATAGGGTCGAGAGTCACATCAAATTAAACAATTCGCTATGAAGACTAAGAATTTAATGTAAATATGGAAAACAAGATACTTTAGGAGCTAAGTAACAGCAATAGTCGAAAGTAAAATTAAAGTACCTACATTGAAAACTTTTATTAATATTTTTGAGCCTTAAAGAATCAAGGATCATTAAAATCTAAAATTCATCAATAGGTGCCAAATCTGATAAATCAGGGGGCCATAAACTAAAATTTGAATCAAACGTCACAGACACATGTGAGGTGTCAAATTAAAATGGAATTAATTGAAGTTTACGAATCTGAATTGTTTATTATAGTAAAACCTATAATTTTCCACTTACCAGAGGAACCTTGAGCTATTAAAGATATAGTTACGATATTGAACTTTATTAACATTTTTCAATACAAAAAGTGATAAAAAAGTGTTTCTAAAGTAAACTGACACTAGAAAGAAAAAATTGTATGCGCTACTCGTATGAATTATTTCAAGGCATCCTTTAAAATCATTTTGTGAGGGTCACTCCATACTTTCTGAATCAATATTATTCATAACAGTAAGTCTTAATTTTAAGCCAGATTAAAAGGGGATTTGCAATAATGAAAATTTTTCCTAGTAATAAAATAAACACTCAATACCCACAGAAACTAAAATTACCAACCGCAAGTAAATAGTTCACTAACAGTAAGTTGTCTAAAAATTAATTACTCTTTACTAACAATAGGTTTCTACTTCTGCCCATTCTTTTGACTTTTTAGTAAAAGGCCAGTTTAGCCTCAAATGTAGTACTTTTTTTTAAATTTTGTTGTTGGGAAAAAGAAACGTATACTTACGGTTCTGGAGTATAAAAAGGATCAATGGAATGCCTTATATATTGCGTGCAATGGAACACCCTGAAAGCTAGGCCCGCCAAAAAGTCTCTGGCGCTTAAGTAACCTCCGACCGGTCTCAGTTGAAATCCAGTTTTTCGTTTTAGAAAGGCGCTGACGTCTTGCAGTTGCGGAATGTTATCTTCTCTGTAACCGCAGTACTTTACCAGCTGAGGCCAATTTTCCAAGTACTCTTTGCAAGCGTGTTTCTCGTACAGTTTGTGAAGTTCACGCAAAACTGTTCCCCTGGAATTAGATAGGTATATAATATTGTAATTCTAATTTAAAAATATTAGTGCGTGTTAAAAAATGACAGACCATTAATTATAATTTATTTATTGGGCCGCCCCTGTCTCAACACCCGACAGATCTCTCAGTCAAATAGATCTGATGATATCATCGATTTCCGACATAGATTAAAGAAAAAACTCAAATCACACCACGTTTAGTATTTATATGTCTCACTCTAAACAACAATGTCTCCCCATGTTAAAATTTCCTAGAAATAACCTTGACAAAGTTCAGCCAAAAACTTCCAAATTTAAATTTTCTATCTCGCTCTGCTCAAAAAAAATATAATAAGGTAAGACAAAGAAAGGCCAATTATTATTTGAAAATCGGTGACGCTGAAATAGGTCGAATTATGTGTTTAAAGATTGCGTGCATTTTTGTTTAGATAGTCCAGCGTCAAGGAAGGGTCGGTTATGACTAGGAACACCGGTCGGTTTTTCGTGTTCATACGATAAATGGATCTTGCTTTAATGTCATATTCTTCAGTTAAGTCTTCGTCTATATCCTCTATTTTTGTGCCGTCGGCTAGCCCCCTTAGGACGAAGGCGTGCGTCTTTTCATCCCTATTGGAATAAGTATGATATGGCAGTTTTTCAGATCTGATGCTCTTTACTATCTTTTCATGGTCCTCTTTCTCTTCTAGAAAGAGGATCGTGGATGTGTTGGTGTGCTTGATACTGAATTTTCCCGTTACTATACGTTTGATGTCCGTTATTAGGGTGTTTTGGCTCGTAGTCTTCCCGTCTATTATAATTGGGGGCAGGTGGTTTTTAGTTTTGGGGGTTGTGGATGCCTTTTTTGGGTAGTGTTACTGTTTGAAGCATTGTTTTCTGCTAATATGCTTTCAATTGTTTCTTCCGGTTTGCCAGATTTTTTTTTCGTTTCTTTTGTCCTCCCTAGATTTAGCCGCTTTCCTCTTTCTTTTGACTATCCGTCCCAGGTCATCATCAATTTCCGAGTCGGAGTCTTCGGTCAGTGCTTGAAACCTATTTTTCGTCGTGGTAAGGGTTTTCTTTGTTTTTACCTTATTAATTTTTCAAAGTTCGCACTAAACTTTCTAGGGGTGATAAAGGGTAGATTGTTGGACGCATTGTCCGTGTCCATTTCCACTTGTTTTATAGGGCTGTTTTTAGACCTAAGGAGGAAGGTACTGTTGGGCGAGCGCGGTAGATTTTCCTGTCCTTGGTTGGTATGCTCTTCAGAGGATTTTCTCTCCTCTTCCGAGGTATTATTCCCGGAATTGAAATTGAAAATAGATTTGTCAATGTTCGGTGGGAGGTCAGTGCTTCGTATGCCTATTTTTATTCTGGGGTCGCTCGGGATATTGTACATTTTTGGGACGGTTCCTGTGTTTTTAGTAGAGAAATTGTATATTCCTCTATAGGCTGGGTTGTTAACATCGAACTCTGCGACTGCGGGTACAAAGCCGAATCGAAAGCTACTCGATCCACCCTCGACCCGGTTTGTCTCCACAGTGACATTGTTCGTGTTATTCCGTATTGTGGTGCTAGTTTGTGTTTCTGATAGACCTCTTGCTCCTGTGTTTTTGTAGTTTGAGCAGTTATCGTTCCCACTTGGAGGGGTGGTTCCTGGGGTGAGGGTACTGCCATCTGACAGGGGTGAGTCCAGTCCAAAGTCTAGATTCCTAGTCTTTACGTTTTTTGGCAGAGGAAGGGTTTTATATGCGGATTCAAATTTTTCTTAATTTTCCACATACTTTTTTTTTCCAAAAAAGTTGGATTATTTTCTTTGAATTTTTTGGATTCATCTCCGGATTCGTCTAGGTCTATTTCTAGTACGGTCCCATTTAAATTTTCAGGACTATAGGAATCTTCGTTGTGGCCCTCTAGGTCATTGATAAGATTCTCCAAGCTTTCGTTGGAATCTGCTCTTATGACCACAACCAGTCTTTAACGATTTACTCTCAAAAACTTTTCTGGATTACTCACAATTACTCACAACTTCAAAATATCAATATTACTAGTTTTTTTATATAAATCGTATATTTCGTACTCTTGCACTTTGGTTTCAATTTATTTTAGTACTGTGCAATGTTGCCAAACATTAAAAGAGAAATTTTCAGAACATACAAGAGTCAAAACAGATGCATTTTTATGTCTGTGCATTCACTATTTTAATAACCAAGTAATTAATATACAGGTTGATTCATAACTATTGGGACATAGGCTAAGACAGGTTATTTGGATAAAAATATGGCGATAGGACCAAATATACCTTAATAAAATATTGCTGTGGAATAAGATACAGGACGTAAAATTTAAATACTGTTTTTTGTTTTTTTCTGATGTCACTGTATATTTATGAATTGATATCAAAATTGGCACAAAGGCATATTTTTCGACAAGGAATAATATTTAATGTATTATTTCACATTTTGTTACAGGAGGCGCCACGTGAATGATTCCTGATGATGAAATTAAGTGGTAGCTTTTTTTACAAAACTTTTTAATATTTTTGATTAGAAATTAAAATGAACAATAAAATATATTAATCGACTATTGGGACAGTCCCAATGGGACTATCACTATCGACACGACACTTTTACTCTTTTACACTGACCAAGCAATAGAGGACGTTACAATTTTAAAACTATAAAATTGTAATGACTGCTAAAGGTGCTGGGGGGGTAAAATAAGGCTTATATTAAAATTTTAAAAAGGACACGGTGTTAATAAATTATCCGATCAGGATTTTGCCTAACTACCATGAATATACCCACGCTGACTTCCCGATTACTCACATATTACTCACAATTGCCCTTTACTCACAAAATTACTCACAGACTAGTAAATTACTCACAAATGTGAGGAATTACTCACAGATTGGCAACCCTGCGCTGTAGGCACCTTAATTGATATTCTCCAAGCTTTTTCTGTCTAGCTCGTCGCTTTTTGTTTTTTGTACATCAGTGTTCTCCGTACTTTCTTGGCTTGCAGCGGTTGAGTTATATTCTGGTATAACAGTTCTCCGTACTTTCGCAGTTTGCGGCTGATAAGTTGTATTTTATTACAACAGTTTTCTCCAAACTTTCTTGGGTCGGCTCTGTGTCGATTTTTATACTCCGAACTTTCGTAGACTTTGCTGTTTGGGTTGTGCGGCGTGAGCACATCAGCTTTCTCCAAACTTTCTTTGGATTTTGGGATTTTATTTTCATCTATTGTGAGTTTATTTGTGCTTTCTTGGCTGCTTCCCGCTCTGCTTTCTGCAGTCTTTGGGATGGGAATAGATTGTTTTGTCACCATCTGATAGAGTCTATTCTCCGAACATTTTTTTCGTAGGTTCACCTCTGGGTTGGTCAGTTGATCCCAGGTTAGGTGTGTTAGTTTGTATCCCTTGGGTACTCACTGTTTTATAGGGGTGTTGCAGTCTGGTTGTCTTCGAAGTCTTGGGAGAGCTTGCTGTTGTTCGATTTCTCGTTACTTTCGCCACATTTGACGTTGGTTTTAGAATATATTGTCTTATAGACAGTTTTGGGTGGCCCGAAGGGCTCCGACATTAAACATGGACACTCCCGGATTTGTGTACTACTTACTCTGGTGAATGAAAAAGAAAAATTAAATTTTATAATTACGGCTCAACCGTTAACAAAATTAATAATACATATGTAAGGTTGCTTATACACTTTTGCGAAAGAATTAGCGTGGGTGTATGAAGTTACACCTAGAAACGTTCTAGGTAAACTGCGACAATAGTCGGCCAACATTGATGTTTCGTATCGATGTCGCATCACTATTTTCAACCGTTAATACTGCGCAACCGTATTTGTCTGAGCCACTAAACAGAGAAATCATTCTGATAGTGTTGTCAAGTTTTACTTAAAGAAAGTCGCTTCTAAACTAATTAGGCATTCCAAACTAGTGGGTTTTGACAGGTTATGATATGGCAAAATCATGGCAACCCTGTAGGCCTGGTGATTTGACAAAGTCAATGAAATAGTTACATAGATTGATCATCCATATTTTTCAAAATAAACACAAGCTTATGCCTTGAAGTAAAAATGTAGGTAATTATTTTGTTTAGGGTAACATGGTTAACAGTGAATCAGTATTTTTTAACTTGTTCTTATCTTCAAAGTTAAACGCCTGAATTGTCGCAAATTCGAGCACAGGTTGCCTTAAGTGTCTAGTGTCCAATTTATATTAGATTGAACACCGTAGAAATTTTTTTGAAATGTCTGTCTTAGTTTAAAAAAAAAAATGAAAATGATCCACTGTGTACTATAGTTAGTACACACTGAATCGGCCATTGGTTAACAGTGAATAAGCAACAAAAAATAAACACAAAAGTAACCAAAAATTTATTCATAGGTAAATATAACGTAAAACTTAAATTCTCATTTACAAGAATAAATATACCTAAAATAATCTAACGCAGATTTAAATTTGACATATTAATGGGAAATTGTTGCCTTGCAGTACTTCCAGTAACTGTAGGTTTCGGTAAAATAAATTTTATGTCATGGTCATTAACACATGCTAAATCCGGGACGTTGGGGATATGAAATAGTTGGTCAGTTTTTTGCCTTAAAAAACTAACGTACACTTCCATGGAAGTATTTCTACTTTCTAATACCTTAGCTACGTAGTAAATTTTTTGTTTTTTTGTGCTAAATTCCACAATAATATAATCCCCCACAGTTGGTGATCGACAAAGTGGATTTTGCAAGCAGTTTTCAGTTAAAGTCATTTGATCATTTTCTTTTTCCTCTTCAAAACAATCAATGTCATCATCGTCAGATTCATCATGCAGCACAACTTCTTCCTCGTCTTCTGAATCGCTTTGCAATACTTTACAAACACTACCTTTTTCACCTTTCATTTCTTTTCTTCTTTTAGCAGCCTCCCTTTCGACTGCAATTGCTGCTTTTTCCGGTGTATCAGTAGCTATTAAACTTCGTCCTAACTTTCTTGGTTTTCTTTTCCCAGTTCTTGGCTTTGCTTTTAGTGGCTGTCTAAATTGATCAGGAGTTAATATTTGACAATCTTTTGATGGGCCTGCTGATGTCGAAGGAGCTAAATAAATTTTTTTCTCCAGTAGTACTTCAGCAGTTTGATGTTCTTCAATATCTTGTAGTATATCTGGATTTCGCCTATCTGTTACCGTACTAGGCAAAAAGTCGTCGTCCTTAAATTTGTGTCTGTCGAATGGTACTAATCCTGTCTTGTTAAATCCTTGACGTATATTGGATGGTGTCATGGATTTTTCAAATGCGATTCCAATTAGTTGTCCAACATCATAAATAGTAATCGGTTGTCCTGGATTACGCATCATCCAAGAATCCATGGCAGAATGATAATAATTCTTAAATGGTGCAAAAATTGACACATCTAGAGGCTGCATTTTCGCGCTGAAGTATGAGGATGTAATGTGAGTACAATCACACCGGATGCCTTTGCCAAATCTAACGATTCAATGGATAGATGTGATTCATGATTGTCCATTATTAAAATACTGGGATTTTCCAATGAACTACCACTGTGCTTGATATAATGTTTCATAACATCTACAAATAAATCGCTGTTCATCCAACCCGACTGTGCCGCTAAAATCAAAGTTCCCGGTGGAGTACCAATACCCATTCTAGGGTTTACCTTCTTTCGTGGGAAAATTATTACTGGAGGAAGTGCCTGCCCTCCAGCGCTTATGATGCAGCATGTTGTGCATAAAACTCCTTTTTCGCCACTGGTAACTTTGCAAAGGTTTCTATGGCCCTTCAGGGCTATTACTTTATGAGGTTTCTGCACGGTGGTTGTGCCTGTCTCATCGAGGTTAAATATTCTGCATCCATCGGAAAATGCTGGATTTCTTTTAATTGCGTTTTCGAGATTATCATAAAATTTCGTCACTGTCTCTTTATTAAATGATGTAGCTCTCGCAAGGCTACATGCTTCTGGTTTTCTAAGTGAGAGTTCAGGATGACGTTTCCGAAAACCGCTAAGCCAGTCAATACCTGCTATTTGATTTGTTTCCCACGAGGAAGGCATTTTTATATTATTATAACTTGCCATTTCAAAGGCTACATGACGACAATCTTTGGAAGTCAGCCCGTAAAATAATAAAGCACAATCTTTATAATAGTCTCTAAGAATATTTTCTTGTACTTCCGAGAAAACTCGGTTGACTTCATAGTTGGGTGTTAATTTTATGTCACCTACTTGGTCAGTTTCTTTGGTCTTTGCATAATACCTTCGTAGGATAGTAAAAGGTATATTTGATTCTGAAGGAACGTGTCGTATACTTATTAGCATTAAGTGCTGCTAGCATTGCTTCTTTGGTGTGATCATCTATTTTTCTTTTTTCTTTCTTATTTCGTGGCATTCTGAATTAAGAACAAGATTGAATTTGTAAATAATATTAGCACAACCTTGTTATAAATCACATGGTGCACAGTGGATCATGATCAACTGTGTACCACAAGCTTCTGATCCACTGAGTACCACCTGATCTATTTACTTTTGAAATTCAATAACTGTTTACAAGATATCACTATGTAATCATTTTAATCGTTATTGTATAAACTAATAACCACTTTATATATCTGAATTGAAAGTAATAGTTAAAAATCAATAATAAGAACATGCTTGACAAAATATTACTTACCTAGTTTTTTCCACGTATAGCCAAAACAAAACTTAACCTTAAAACACGTCTAATCGTCGCCGATACAAGTCGCTCACTAAATAGACAGAGAGGCAGTGTGGTTAGCTACAAATAGATGAAATGCAATAAAAGTTTAACCCATAAATGACATTGTAATAGGGATGGTTTACTGTGTACCACTGATTCACTGTTGACCATGTTACCCTACTATATTCAAAGGTTAAATATAAGTTATAAAAAAATTTATAGTTATACCTAAAATACTAGAAACTTTGTAACAAACAAAACACAGAAACGTCACAAAATCAAAAAATAAAAAATAAAAACAATTATTTGCGGTCCTTACGCCCTGTTCTGCGTTTTTAAATTTTATTTAAATTTGTGTCGGGGAAAAAAGATCTAGCAACAGTCCTGTTTGTATTTCTATTTCGTAAACGAATTTGGGGTTAAATAAACCTTTTGCCGTTTATCTATTGGCAACTAATTGAATTTGAAGCTGTCAGCAAACATTTCTAGTAATTGCTCCAATCAATTAACAAGTTGATGAGGTTAATTGATTGAAATACTCTCGACTAGATTTGCTCGCATCTCAAATTAATTTTATCAAAAGATTAGCGCCGATAAACACAGATTTTCATTGATAAAACAAAAAGTTATTTTATTTTAAGACCTTAAACTACAACGTTTACGATCCTTCGACTATGATATAGTGATAATCCTGTCAGTAAAGGAGCTACTTTTTTATAACCCTTTGAAATACGCTAGTTCAGTGATTCGTTTTGTTTACCTAAATATATTCCTAAACTAAGTAGATAACATGCATCAAATATACAATCGTTTAGTTACCAATTACATACCTTTAAATTATTTTTTATGACCCGTAAACAATATTTAGAAATAAACTAAACACAGGAAAAACATATATGTCAAATTTATTGACGTTTTTGTTAAAAGTTTGGTTAGAATTAAATGTCAGTGGAACCAAAATTACATCACACCGAACTAGCGTATTGGTAATAATTTGTACGGTTCTAGCACATACTTTGATTTTCTTTTACTATACGGAGAATGGTCGCACTGCGCAGCTTTCTGAGTGCCTTTTAAAAGGAGATAGAAAACTCCGCCATTTTGATCCCTTATTACGTGTTGCCTACATCTTGGTGCCATATTTTTAATAGGTGCGTTTTAATCATCCTCTTTTGCTTCGGAATTGTCGGTTTTCTTGTTTTAATCTGACAGGTTAAAACACATACTTTGATTACTATACGAGGTAAGAGAGAGGTCCGACACGCCCAACATAGGGCGCGGCCATTTTGAACCCTTTGACACAGTTTAGAGCTAAAGAATTAGATTGCTCACTCTGCGTCGGCACTTTTGATCTCAATGTTTCAGTTTATACACTGTGCAACTCTAATAATACAATATATGACAACCGCCTTTAATAAAACAGCAGTCTTCTGCGTATCCTGAATTTGTATCCCTGGAGTGGATGTTATTTTGGAACTTTCAACTGGTCCGAGTGAGCTAACTGATTCTTTAGCAATAAACTGTGACTCCAAAAATATTATTCACTGACACCACATACTTTGATTTTCTTTTACACTGACACTGACAACAGCAAGCAAAATATCAGGTGCGTTTTAATCATCCGCTTCTGCTTCCGGAATTGACGGTTTAGTCGTTTTAACCTGTCAGATTAAAACAAGAAAACCGACAATTCCGAAGCAGAAGCGGATGATTAAAACGCATCTATTAAAAATATTGCGCCAAGATGTAGCCAACACGTAATAAGGGTTCAAAATGGCGGAGTTTTCTATCTCCTTTTAAAAGGCACTCAGAAAGCTGCGCAGTGCGACCATTCTCCGTATAATAAAAGAAAATCAAAGTATGTGGGTTAAAATGACTAAGTGAAGATGATAGTTTTGATGAGATTTGATTTTCCATTTTGGTTATATTTTTACGTTATTAAACGTAACCACGTATCTGTTGGTTCACGTTATTTTGGAAAGGAACATAATATTGTTCCTGTTTTCCTTCTCTAGGAATGTAAAGCTTAAAGGTACACATATTCTAGTGGTATTACCTTCCCCAAAAATCAATTCGTAAGTACAAGGCTTTGAATTAATGCTTAAAAAAATAATTAAATGTTGTTCTTTCTATAAAACACCCTGTATAAAAAATGTGTACTATTCTATCGCCAAAATACCATATTAAGGAGTACTTTTTAAAAATATGCTTTCCTCACGATACAGTAGAAATAATGAGATTTTGCAAAAAACTACCGTCATACATTTGTGAATCATATTGTAATTAAAAATATTTTTAATATTAATATATTACTAAAACATGTAGTAAACGTGTGCATCCAACAGAAATTCAATCTAGCTCGTAAGTTTAAAAATAAAAATTCCGAAAAACTGGGCAATTTTCAACTTTAACTTTTAACTTTAACCCCGTATATCGAAAACTAGTCATAGGATTGAGTTGGGACCATTGACACTTTTGGTAACTAGGTTGACTACAACAACATGCCAAAGATTCAGAAAATTTGACCGGTCGCCACTTTACATAAGAAAAGTGCGAGGTCCTTTATATCGAACAAACTAGCCAAAACGAGCAACGTTGTCATATTTTTCGTTATTCGTTATTTTATTACAAAAACGTGAAGTTTTGATGTAATGTTGGTTGCGGTAATACGGTTAAAATCACGATAAAATTAAAAAAAAATCTGCACAAAGAAGTTGTGAATTAAAAGGAAAAAATTAAATATTTTTTGTGTGGAGCCTCTAATGAGAATATATTCTATTTTCTGAAACAGTTTTTATAGCGATTTTTGATGACTTTTTAAGGTCAAATTTCGTTATTTTCTAATACATTTGCTAACGCCGCCTGAAAACGTATAGAAATTCTTTAGTGGGTCGTAGAAAAAATTTACTGTACAACTCGAGTGCATTATCCGTATCGCATTTAGACAATTTACAATCCGCCTACGACGTCATGATCGTATGATATGTCCATCATATCCCATTTGTTTCAATAAAAAAAGTAAGAATAGGTATGCTTACCAAGTTTTGATTTCTTCTGGCGTATATTTTACTTTAGGTATAGGTTGTCCACTGAAAATATATAAAAATATGTTATTTTTAATAAATAACGTAAGCAAATTACTATTTAAATAATAATTTACTCACTGTTTGTAGTTCATGGCAATTTTGTAAAAGTGTTCTCGACGTTTTCTATAAATCGGATCCTTAAACCCTGGATGATCAGCGTCCAGGTCACTGCCATACATAAGCACATTTTGAGCCATGTCCAGTTCGGAAATCTTTTTCGGAAACCACGGCATTTCGTCAAAATCTAAAAAAATATTTAATTAGGTAACATAGGTGAAGTAAGAATCAAATGAAAAACATCAAATAAATTTGAAATGGGTAAAAGGTAGGAACAGGAAGATAGCCTGAATACACTGCCATTTAAAATTTACATGGATCGAAAAAAGAAGAAGAACAAGAAGAAGAAGAAGAAGAAGAAAAAGAAAAAGAAAAAGAAAAAGAAGAAGAAGAAGAAGAAGAAGAAGAAGAAGAAAAAGAAAGGTATTGTTTTTAAAATAATAAAAAAAGGCTGATTATTAACCCTATTCTTGGCAAGAACAGATTCACGGGAAAAAAAAATTTTAACAGATTTGGTGTATATTTGAACAAAATAACGCAAAAAGAGAAAAACAATTTTTTTTGCTTAGTTTTGATTTTACCGATCCCTGTTTTTATGTATATTGTTAGATACGCTGCCAGCTTGGCGGCAATATTGTTTTGTATCCTACGAGATACTACGCCTGGTTAAGGATACATAAGTTTAGTGTTCTCTCTGGTCAAACTGTACACTAAAGACATAGGCGGCACGTTAGGCAGTTTTTTCGGGCATATAATTCTAAACCTTTTTAGCAGGAAAGTCAATAATGACTCTTTTTACATGTTGTTTTATACTACAGAACTGTGAATATAGATACTGGTAACGTACATATATATTTTGGTTTTGACCACAAATAATAGAAGCTGTAAAGTTAACCATATTTTCGCAATTCGCTTTACTCAGTGAAGAGTAGAGTACGATTCAACTAAGAAAAAGCCACACACATCATACCTGACAAAGGCCGCAATAATTTGCCTCTCTCTCAGGTCCATCCCATTTAAGCGTCAGTAGTGGCGTTTTGGCGATTTTTTTCGTTTTTCTAATATAGAGATACAATTGCTTAATAATTTGGCAACGCTGTACGACTGCCGCATGGTCCAGAATATAATTCGAACAGAAGCTATCGCGTAAACATGGATCCCTTATTATTGTGAGCCAAACTTCGGCGTTGCCAAGCTTTTACTTACGAACAAAAATACGGGTTCATCGGAAGAAAGTGAAGACAGCGAGAGTACTATACTCTGTTTTTACACTAGGAGGAGCGAATTGAAAAGACGCATTTACACAGGGAAAAGTAACTAGATTTGTTACTAAGAGCGAGTTTCGAAATATAGTCGTGTTCAAAATTTATGAAATAATTATCTTTATCAGCCTTACGGGGTTATGATGGACAAATAATGTTATTTTTAACAGACACGTTATTTGTGAACAGGTTGTTATTTCTGTGTGTTTATAAAATAACAGACCTGTTAAAAATAACACAGGTTGTCAATCATAACCCCCTGTGTCGGTGAACGGCCACTGAGCGGTTAAGAAACGAATAAATGTCATAGAAGTAATTTTTTAATTGGTCCCAGACAACGGTCGTAAATTTCACATTATTGTGATCTGAAATGTGTGTCTAAAACGAAATGTCACTGTCAAATTAAAGTCAATATGGTTGTTGATTGATGTCAGAAATACTTTTTTCTTGCTTTTGAAATCGACTTTTTGAGAATAACTATGATCTTTTTAAAATGGATATTAAATATTTAAGAAAATTGTTAATGGAATATCCAGATGTAGCCAGGTTAGTATAAAATATAAAGATCTGTTTACATTTTTAAGGATATATTTGTTATAGGTATAAAAAGTAAAAGTTAATCAGTGAATGACAAGTGGATCACACAGTAACTCTCTATCTCTTCTATGAGTAATGTGGATATTATGGCTTATTTAGTGTTAACCCATGGTTAATGCGCTAGAGGGTAAATAAAGGCATTCAAAAGTTTACAGGCCTATGAGTCAGAATTTGTTTTGAAAACTGGAACCAACATTTTCATAACACTACATGTCAACATATATTTTTTAAAGTGAACTATTCATACATACTTATGTATTAATTTTGAGTATTTTGTTAGGTTTTTAATAATACTCGTATACTTTAACAAATTTTATATTTTTATCTTTCTACCAATTAACTCTGACAAATCAATGTTCTAAATTCCTGCCTATGATTTATTTTATAGCTAAATATATTTACGTAATCGTGACTAACACTTTTCGGTAATTCTGAATAATTGTAACTAATATAGGATGTCCCATTTATAAACCATAGATATAGTATGTTCTAGAATATTTATTAATACTTATCAATAATTTTTATTTAGTAAAGCAAATACTATAATAATAAAAATTATAACAATAATTAATAATGATACCTACTACCCATAACAATAATAACTTACAATATGTTTTTAATAAAAATAATATCCAACTCATAAACTCTAACAATTTTTAAAATATTTTTTGTGAAAGTAATGTTAACTCATTGTGCCAAATTAAGATTATCCCTAAAGTAGTAGATAGTGTTTTAAATGTTATAACAATTTTGTAAATAGTTTTATTCTATTCTAATAAATAAAATTTGCTTGAATATTTAGTTACATTTTAATCATTTTGGTTAGAAATTCATCAATTTTTAGTTTTAAAAAATCAGTAATAAAATTATTTTTTTCTAAAATACTTCGGAATTCATCTCTTCATGGTAATCTCCCATCTTTTTACCTTCAAAAACCAATAATGCATTTTCTACAAAACCTTCAGAATCAACATGTAAAATAATAAGGTGTCTTCCCTTTCTTGTAAGGCTTTTCAGGAATTGCTACCTTTAATAGTATTCAGTGTAGAAGGATCCATAATTGTAGATTTTCAATACAATTTCTTACTGAATAACTATTATTTACGAAATACAGTAAAAAACTAAGTACAGTTCATCAAATTTCTAGAGGCTTTCGACGGCTAGACAGAGAAAGCACTACTGACAGGCATCCCGACGGATTTACGCAATGAAAGTACACTCTGCGCATCAAGTATTTCACTATTTCATTCAGACGTAAATGTCAGATGTAAATTTCGCTAAAACATTTCTTTTATTTTCGTTTGTGTTTTTTGCTCATTACAGTTTAATAGAACCTAAGTATGGAATTTAATAGCAAATTAAGAGGCCGCGTGATTAACAGTCAATCTCGCGAAATAATAGCCAATGTTATAGAGTTTATGAGAAGAGAAGGAAACTTTAATTCACCTTCAATACCATTTAAAAATGTAAATGATCGTGTTGCTGCAGCCACAGGAGTATCTAAAAACATTGTCGTCCGCATTTCTGGAGAGAAAAAAAGAATCGATAACCGTGAGATATCGGAATTTTCATCACCAAGAAAAACCATTAAAAAACCAAAAACAGTTAATGATATAGATGAAGCTGCACAAGAATCAAATTTTATTTTTTTATTATTAGATAGCTATTTTTGTTTCTGAGTTGTGTTCATTTACAGGCTCAATTTTTTTCCGTTTCTCCTTTTTGATTTTATATGGGGTTTCAAGTTGTTTTTGACTTATTTCGACGTAAATCACAACAACACACTTTTTTAATAAAGCAAACAAGTGTTAAGAGGTATATGTACGTGTAAACTACAATTACAAAAAATTGATATGAAACCCATGAAACCACCAACAAAAATGTAAAGCTAGCTTCCGTACTAGAACATGGTGTCATTCGTCGAGATAATTTATCGTTTTGTTTAATAGATCAAGAAATGTAAATATTCTCCTGTTATTTTTTATAAAATTATAAGAGAAATAAATTTTTTTCTAAATAGTATAGTTTATTATTTTGTAGAAAAACAAAATTTCGAAAATTTTAGTAATGTTTCAGAAACAACCGTTATTAATAATAGGTACCATTTTCCTTAATAAGGTAGAAATAAAATATAAACTATTTCCACGATTTACAAAGGCCTACAAAAAAATTATAGGTATTTTCCGCTATCCTATAAAATTTATATTTTCTAACTCAATTTCAAAAGGTTGAAGGAATTCCAAAACACCTTTTATGGCATAATAATTATTTTCAATTCTACATACTATCTTTAGCTGCTTTTAAAAACGTTCTAAGAAAGTCCAATCAGACCAATTTAATCCCTAAACTATTCCACACTTTTAAAATTTAATTACCTAAAAATATTAAAAACAATTTAAAATAACTTGTTTAGCAGACTGTACAATAGCTATCTTAGTCACACGTAGCGCGTTCTCTGTCTGGGCGTCGAACACCTCTAGAAATTTGATGAACTGTAATGGATGAGATATCAAATTATAAAATGTCAGAACTGTCAACAATATAAATTATTAGCTGATGTTCATGCAAAAAAGTAATGTGTGAAACTGACTGTAATCTGACCAATCAGAAGGCTACAGAATTGGCAAATTAAATTCAAATCGCTCCTCAGTTTAAAAACAGAGTATAATAGTTCATTAACGGACGAACTAGGATGTACTCCTCTAGTTTCACTTTTTGCACTAGTTGCATAAATAACTATAATTTTAATTGTAATAAAAATCTTAAATTACAAAATTGTGTTGCTATTTTTATTTACTTCCCACTGAATGTTTTGCAAGTCTAAAGTCGAAAAATATATGTAATGTTATTTTAGTTTAGTTATTTAGGTAATATACAAACGTTTATTTAACTCATTAAAATTTAACTTTTTAATCCAATAAATGTTTTTTGTTGGGAAACTGCTTTAATTCTTATTTAAATAAGAGCCTACGCCACTGGTATATCGATCTGGAGCAACAGAAAAGGAATATTTTAAAGTGAGGCAGACGATGACTAGTTGATGACGCCCGTAGCTTTTTCTAAGTTGAATCGTACTTTACGCGCCTTTAATTTCAAATAATTAACTTAAAATAATTCAAATAGGTAGGAAAACTCATAATTATTTATAAAAATCAAAACTTGTAATTTTATAAAAAAAGTTAAAAATACAAAATGTTGAAACAAAACTATAACTACAATACGAATAATTAAAAAAAAAACGTAGCATAAATTTATTGTAGAATAATTATCAAAATAGATAGAATCACTGTATTTACTAAAAATCAAACATAATTTCCAATTCTATAAA